CCCCACCCCCTACGGCTCCTCCTCCTCCACCCCCTCTCCCCGCGAGAGTTACAGGCAAAGAAGAGGAAGTGGTAGCTAGTAGCACAGGCAGGCGGGCGGGCGGCGGGCGGCGGAGGCTGTGAGGGTGCGCGGGCCGGGCCGGGCCGGGAAAGCAGCCGCCATGGAGCTGTGGCGACAGTGTACCCACTGGCTGATCCAGTGCCGGGTGCTGCCGCCCAGCCACCGCGTGACCTGGGACGGGGCCCAGGTGTGCGAGCTGGCGCAAGCCCTGCGGGATGGGGTCCTTCTCTGCCAGCTGCTTAACAACCTGCAGCCCCACGCCATCAACTTACGCGAGGTCAACCTGCGTCCCCAGATGTCCCAGGTGAGCCCACCGCGGGCTGCCGGGCCCAGGGTTGGAAGTGGGGGGCATTCCAGGCTGGGTTAGTGTACTGTGCCTCTGGGCCGGCACTGGGTTATATGTCAACTCCGCGGCTGGCTTAGGGGAGGGGGTGGGGGAAGGGGTGGTGTGGATGGTAACACTGAAATTCTGGGGTGACCCACCAAAGATTAGCAGAAATGCATTTGTAGGCACAGAATGAGCCCAACTTTAGGCTGTGAACTGGCAGGCTGGGGGTTAGCCGCTCCTGAGCCTCAGGCCCACTTCCCTGGGGTTCAAGGCCCCAGGTGCCATCCTCTGGAAGTCTTGAGGGGGTGCCTAGAAATCCCCTGGTTGGTCAACAGGGTGCTTAAGGTTTTCTTAGACCCCTTGCCCCCAGATTCTGGCTATGGGGGAGGGCCCTCCTTCCCCACATGTGTCTCCTCCTCCGGGCCCCTGGGCCCCTTCCTTCCCCTCACATCTCCTTCCCCTTGGCTTCCTGCCTGGGCCTGGGGCAGATGGGGGCCTGTGACCTCGGGTTCTGCTCTTCCTGGCTTCCTCCATCCCCTGGGGGACATTGAGGCAGGACCTGGTCCTGAGCCCCCGAGGGTGGGTTCTGGGGTTTGGGAGCCTAGGAATAGCTCCTCTGTCTCAGTAGCAATTTCTGTGAAGGCTGAGGGTCCAGAAGGAGGCAGATTTGACTGTGACCGCCCCCGGCTCAGGAAACACATTCAAGTCCCTATTTGAATGCGGTTGGGTGGGGGAGGTAACAGGACTGGATGCTCTCTCTGTAGCACCTCCTCTGGTTCTCTATGGCCGCCTGGGTGCTGGGTGGAAGTGGTGTATGCTGCTGGGTGGGGGCTGGGGGTGCCCCACCTGCCATGGAGGTCCACGGGGACCCATAGGCCAGGCTTTAGTCTCTGTGCCTGGATGAAAGCTTTGTCCAGAGGAGCTGTAGGCTGGGGGTGACAGGGGAGGGGGTAGTTGGGGCATCCGTAGCCTCCTCTCTGGTTTGACTGCCATGTGCAGGTGGGGGGAGGGGAAGTGACTGCTCTGGGGGTGGGCCATGGGGATCCTTAGGGGCATTTCCTGGGGACAGAGCCCTGGGTGGAGAGGTGGGTGGGCCCCCTTTGCTAGCCCAGGCAGGATTTCTTGATGGAAGGAGGGAGCTCTAGAGAACCCCTCCCCCATGGCCAGCCCTTCTTGACACCTGCCATCCCGAAATTGCCTACATTTGCTTGTCTCCTTCCAGCACGCGAGGAAGTAGCTCTACCACCTGTCAGGCTCAGATCAGCAGGGAGCAGGGTCCCCAGTGAGGCTTAAAGCAGCTAATGGCAAGTGATAGACATAAGGATGAACTTCCAGG